AATTCATATTCATAAGAACAGAGATTCGAATCCTCTCTAGAAAGAGTAACAAGCAAGAACAAAGTAAAAGCAAGCAAAACTTTATTAAGATGTAAAATAGAATGTGGTCTCTCTCTCCTTTTGAGTTACAAGGCTAAAAAGAAGTATTTATAATGCTCTAAGTATGTAGAAGGCGGCTAAACCTAATCTAGCTAGGTCGGCGCCGGCTTTGGGCTTGAATTGTGCGGATTGGGCTTCAAAAACGGCTTCGGGTCGACCGCGGCGTTCGGACGGTCGTCGGGACGATCGGCCGGACAGTCGGGTTGTGGCCGAGTCGGAACGGTCGGGGCCGGATGTTTCACGGTCGGCCGGCGTGGTCGGGCGGAGAAGATTTGGCCGATGGTTTCTCGGCCGGACGTGGGACGTTATTTCCCGGCTCGGACGGATGCATCGGCCGTGGTACGCGAACGGGTTGCGCGGCCGCGAGGCTTGTTCCCCGGCTCGCGCGGCATGGTCGTGCGCGGCGTGGCGTGACGTTTGGCTTGGCCGACCGCGGGACAATGTTTCCCGGGTCGTGTTGCGTGATCGGCCGGTGGCTTCGAACTTTGGCCGAGACTTCAGTCGGACGGATATGTTTTGGCCGAGCGCGGAACATCGTTTCTCGGCCAGCCGGTCTGTGCGGTTGGCGCTGATTCTCGATATGGCCGTCTGGACAGCCTTCACTCTTTTGGCTATAACTCCTTTTCTACTCATCCAAATTAGGCCGTTCCACTTGCATTGGAAAGTTAACTCAATCAGAGCACGCAGGGAACTGGTCTTGATGAAATCCATTGAGTAGATCTTTTTCTAGCTCCATCCAAAGTTGATGCACGGGCATTGAACTGGTTTAGAGTCCAAATCTCCTGTTTTGCTCCATAATGCACCTTTTTACCTAAAATGACTCTTTGCACTATAAATCCATAAAAACTACCTTTTAACACAAGAATCCACTAGAAAACCATTAGAAAACCATAGTAAAATAGCATAAAAAGTGGGTAAAATAGAGGTATATCACTATTCCAACAAAGTTTACTTCTTCTTGAAAGTTTGGAATCAAATCTCCAAAGTAGTCTTGAATTATTGTGGATTCAACTCTATAAGCTTCTCTTTGTCTCTCCACTTCTCTTCCTTGGTTTCTCAGTATCTCAGCCATCATGGCTTTGATTTCGCTGTATCCATCTCTGTATGGATCAGAATTTATGGCCTTCACTGCTCTCTCATGCCCAATGAAGTTGTCACTGTCGCTTGAGGCTAGATTTTCAATCAAAATCTTTGCTTCAGTAACTGTCTTGGTCATGAAATTTCCATTGCTGGCTGTATCAAGAGAAAATCGACACTTCCCACTTATTCCTCTGTAGAAAATGTTCCATAGACTGCCTCAGATAGCCCATGGTTAGGACACTCTCTTGTATAGTCTTTAAAACGCTCCAATGCTTCATGAAAAGGCTCCACCGGCCCTTGTTGGAAACTAGAGATCTTTTCTCTTCAACAAGTTTGCTCTTTGCTTTGTGAAAAAGTGACCTAGGAATGCCACCTTGTACTCTTTCCATGTGGTTATGGATTGAGCTGGAAGAGACTTAACCCAGCGCAAAGCCTTCCCTGTCAAAGTGAAAGAGAATAGTTTGCACTTTAAGTACTCTTTGGGTGCACCTCCTGCACTGATGGTGCCACAGATTTCTTCAAAAGCATCAATATGTTCCAAAGGATTCTCCTGGGTTTCCCTTGGAACTGATTTTGTTTCACCAAACCAATGATCTCCGGTGAAATCTCATAACTTCTTCCTTCAGGAAGTGGCGGCTGGATGGGATTCCGATCGATTAGTAGTGTTGGATTGGAATCGAAGTCTCCCATGACTTCTTCATTGTGTCGCGCTCCATCATTGGCGCGATTGTGCGCGGCGTTGGATCCGGCGGATCTTCGTGCTGCTCGGCCAGCGCGATCTCTCTCGCGGCCAAGTTCTCTCTATCCTCTTGATCGTCTGAATCACTCATGTTAGAGTCCTTCTTTCAAGTTTAGTACCTGAAAGGGTAGAGGCAAGATTCTTTAAATAGAAAACAGTAAAAAGGAAAAACAAAAGTTGAAAGTTTGCAAAAACAAAAAGGAAAAACGAAATTCTAGGCTAGACTATAGTTGGGAACTCGAAGGTAGCTGTATTGCTCCCCGGCAACGGCGCCAAAAACTTGATCGCGGGATCAGGTTTCCCTTTTCCTATCCCTGATTCTGCAAGTGCACAGGTCAGAAGTAGTAAACGGGTATCGAACACAAGGAGCAGATAAGTACACTTCGAGTATTGCAAGTCTAATATAGCTAGAAAACAAGTATGATTTAGGGTTTTCGATTGTGTAACAAAGTAAATCAAACAGCAGATTAAACGGTTTATGAAAATCAATAAAGGGGAAACGCTAGGCAATGAGAAACTCGCAGAGATTCAAGGTTAACAAGATATTAGAAGGGCTAGGGTTTGCGCTATCTAGAACTCAGGTCACGATTGTATGATCTTTCCACTGTCGAGGCTCCGACCCCTTTGTTAATCTACCTAGTCGCTAAACTTTTGGTATGTCCCTAGGTGATTAAATCAAGCAATAGTTCGTTCAAGACCCAATTGTTCACAACCCCGCATAGATCAACTTTCGCAGTCTATGAAGTTTTGCTCACCAAATACTTAGTTCAGGTTATATAGCAAGCTTTTGGAGAGTATATGAAACCTAAGATCTGATGCTAGTTGATCAGAAAAGCAAGCAGCAATGAATTCAAGCAGAGGCGAAGATGCGATATAATAAACCCTATGCGATTTCTAACAACCTATCAAACCATGAACTCTTTGATAGATCTCACAACCTAACTAGTGAATTACTCAGACATAATCAAAGCAACAACACAAAGAGATGAAGAAAACATGATTGCAATAAAACTCAAAGTATGAAATCGAAATACAAGGCGGCTCTCTTTTCACAAGAGGCTAAAAAGCTATATATATAGTGCTAGGTCTTTTGAGGCGGCTTAGGGTTAAGCCGGGCCTTGAAAATATGAAATCGGGCTTCAAAACGGGCTTCGGGTCGATCGCGGCGTTGGGACGGTCGGTCGGGACGGCCGGCCGGAAAATCGGGTCGTGGCCGTGATGTACTTGCATTTTACATAGTTTTAGCACATCTTTTATGCATCTTTTGCATAGTTTTAGCTTCCATTTGCATCATATCTTGTTCCTTTTCTCTTCTTATGCATTCATGTTAGTTTTAGGTTGCATTTGCATACATATGCATGTTTGGTCCTTTGAAATAGGTCTTTTGGAGCATTCTGGAGCATATGGGACATGAGGAGCATGGAGGGACTTGGCGCATGGAAGCAGCTCAACTGGATACGCAAAGGAAGAAGGGAGAAGCCATCTTGAAGACCAGCTCGACCGTCTACTCGACCAACCGGTCGAGTTCCTCAACTCGACCGGCCAAGCTTCAACTCGATCGAGCTGGAAGTCAAAGTCAAACCCGAAAAATGTTGCTTCCCCCTTGACTTTCCTTTGACCCTAAACCTAATCCTCTTTGTATTTAAAGGCTAAAAGCCACGAAAAAACCACCAAGCTTTAGATTACTTTTGTTTTAGTTTCTTTAATTTATTGTCTTTTACTTTTTAGAATCTAATCCCATCTTTGTGTTCTTGAAGCTCTTGCTTCTTGAATCTAGATCCTGGATAATCTCTTTGTATTTGCACTTGCTTATTTCAATAAAAGTTGTTTAATTTCATCTCCTCTTTCTTATGATGTCTTTTCATTGCATTTGCTTGTGTTTACATTCATGTGTAGTGAGTAGTTACCCATTAGGGTTTGAGATGGGATAGATTAGAGGTTTCATATGCTTAATCCTTCTAGCTTATGGTCTTAATCTAGATTCTCTCTCTTTTGGATAGATCTTAAGGCTACATGACCACTACCCCTGGCTTGTAAGTCCTTAGGCGATTCCCCACACGGAAGTGATGGCATTCGCTGGAAAAGATCCACTAAGAGCTCCAATATCTCTTGCTCTAGACAATAGAGGTCTAAGGGGTTGGATGGATTAGTTTGGGCAATGATCCTATAGCCTCCAAGGTTTGATTCTCACTGGCTAACCCCCTGTTTCTGAGATCATTCCTTGGTTGATAGCCTCCACCTTGGGAAAGGGTTGGCTAGGCATTGAGAAGCCCAATATCAAGAGAAGCCTTGATACAAGGAGTTTTAAGAGCTAGATTGATTAAGTGTAGATTCCTTTGATTGCAAAACCCTGTCTTGAACCCTAATTCTCTCTTATCTTGTTAAAGTCGTCACCTTTAGCTTTGTTTGTCTCAACTCGTCCCTAAACTCGATCGAGCTGGTACTTTGCTCTACTCGACTCGAGTCTTGGTCGAGCTGCACTTCACTGCTTTCTTTACTTTTATTGCACTGCATTTCATTTTTAGGTTGTTAGTGTTACTTCAAATCTATAACTGCTTGCTTGACTTCCTGGTTGTTTCATATTCTCATAGAGTGACAAGTTTCCCATTTTGGATTGATAACCCTTTGTACTACAACTATCATGGTTAAAGGGAATTGTTGACTGTGTTTGTGTTTGCATCTTACCACCATCATATACCACTGATTGCATTCCACTCATCTCATATCATATTTTCACATCCACACACAAAAACCTTTCATCAGGCCGTGGTCGGATCGATCGGGTCGATCGTGGCCGGACGGATGCGTGGTCGGCCGCTGTGGTCGGACCGATGAAGACTTGGCCGAAGAAATCTCTCGGCCGGACGCGAGGCGTAGTTCCCCGGGTCGTGATTTGGGCGCGGCCGAACTGTTTTGGACTTTGGCCGAGACTTCAGACGGACGGACGAGATTCTGGCCGAGCGCGGTACTTTCGTTCCTCGGCCAGCCGGACTGGGCAGTTTGGGCGCTGATTCTCGATAGAGCCGTCTGGAGCAGTCTTCACTCTTTTGGTTGTAACTCCGTTTCTACTCATCCAAATTAGGCCGTTCTAGATGCGTTGGAAAGTTAACTCAATCAGAGCACGCAGGGAACTGGTCTTGATGAAATCCATTGAGTAGATCTTTTTCTGGGCCCTCTTAAAGTTGGTGCTTGTGCATGGAGCGGCTTGAAGTGCAAATCCTATGGTTTTGCTCCAAAATGCATCATTTCACCTGTTTAGACTCTAGACACTATAAACACAGTAAAAATACCTTTTTAGATAGAAAACCTGCCAAAAACCATTAGAAAACAATGCTAAAACAGTATAAAAAGTGGGTAAAATAGAGATATATCAACAGTGTTATGCTAACGATCTATGACCCTAGAGCAAACATCAGCTGAAGGCACAAGCCTAACAGAAGCTCCTACAGTGGATCGGCATGCTAGCTCAGCGAAATTTCTAAGGTAACCAAGCAATCTAGAGTTAACCTCACCCTTAATCAATCTTAATAACTCTTGTCAAGGGGATTGGCATACATGTCGACAGTTCCTTGCTTGATTTTCAATGAGATTTGTCTAATCTTTAAAGAGTTCTCCTCTCTCTCCCATCCCAAATGGTAAGTAATGTTTATGAGAAAAGCTCAAAGAGCACAAGGAAAACAAGTAAGCATGAGGAATGCATATGTCTGTACCTTCATGTCTTATGGAATACCTAAATCAAACAAGGAACAAGCTAAAGACTTATCCTGTGGTTGAAAGAAAGGTCAATAGAAAAAATAAAATGATACCCTAGAAAAGTAGGGAGAAATTGACCTTTCAAAGTTCTGATGTGAGAAAGAGAGAGGAAAAGGAACTCATTGCACTTCAAAGACAATCTTGGAGAAGATCAAGTGGGTAAGAACAAGTTCAATTGATCGATTTTCCCTTGATAAAGAACTCACGTTTTAAATTTCTGCAAGAGGTTACAATAGAGAGTTTGGATTGCTGGATGAGACTAGTTGGGTTGGTAATGTTGCTAAACTTGCAGGGTGTATGTGAAGCTAACCTTATGTTGACTATGTTCTTAGTGGAATACAGGAAAGGAACCTTTCACAGGATTTTCAAAGAAGCAAGGGAGTTCTGATCGCGGAATCAGGTCTTCCATTTTCCTATCCCTGATTCTGCAAGTGCACAGATCAAAAGTAGTAAACGGGTATCGAACACAAGGAGCAGATAAGTACACTTCGAGTATTGCAAGTCTAAAATAGCTAGAAACAAGTATGATTTAGGGTTTTTGATTCTGTAACAAAGTAAATCAAACAGCGGATTAAACGGTTTATGAAAATCAATAAAGGGAAACGCTAGGTAATGAGAAACTCGCAGAGATTCAAGGTTAACAAGATATTAGAGGGTTTCGCTAGGGTTTGCGCTATCTAGAACTCAGGTCACGATTGTATGATCTTTCCACTGTCGAGGCTCCGACCCCTTTGTTAATCTACCTAGTCGCTAAACTTTTGGTATGTCCCTAGGTGATTAAATCAAGCAATAGTTCGTTCAAGACCCAATTGTTCACAACCCGCATAGATCAACTTTCGCAGTCTATGAAGTTTTGCTCACCAAATACTTAGTTCAGGTTATATAGCAAGCTTTTGGAGAGTATATGAAACCTAAGATCTGATGCTAGTTGATCAGAAAAGCAAGCAGCAATAAGTTCAAGCAGAGGTGAAGATGCGATAAAGTAAAACCCTAGGCGAATTCTAACAACCTATCAAACCATGAACTCTTTGATAGATCTCACAACCTAACTAGTGAATTACTCAGACATAATCAAAGCAAAACACAAAGGGATGAAGAAAACATGATTGCAATAAAACTTTAAGTATGAAATCGAAATACAAGGCGGCTCTCTTTTCACAAGAGGCTAAAAAGCTATATATATAGTGCTAGGTCTTTTGAGGCGGCTTAGGGTTAAGCCGGGCCTTGAAAATATGAAATTGGGCTTCAAAACGGGTTTCGGGTCGACCGCGGCGTTCGGACGGTCGGTCGGGACGATCGGCCGGGGATCGGGTCGTGGCCGTGGTCGGATCGATCGGATCGATCGTGGCCGGACGGATGCGTGATCGGCCGCTGTGATCGGTTGGATGAAATTTGGCCGATGAATTTCTCAGTCGGACGCGAGGCGTAGTTCCCCGGGTCGGACGGAACGTTCGTGCGTAGTACGCGAGACAAGTTGTGCGGCCGCGAGGCGTTGCTTCCCGGCTCGCGCGCTTTGGTCGTGCGCGGCTGTGGAGTGAGCTGTTGTGGCATGGTCGACCGCGGGCAATAGTTTCCCAGGTCGTGACTTGCGTTCGGCCGAACAGTTTTTGATACGCCCCTGGAATAGATCGGCTTGAAAGCTAAGTGTTTGAGCGGATTGGAACACAAAGGAACCAACGATGGATGATAGATGAATGGATCGAGTGGCTATACTAGAGAACCCGCGGAAATGGAACTCTAACACCACCTTCGACTTGTTGATATTACACACAACAAGTGAAAGGGAAATCTGTGGACTTAGTTGATATTACGCACAACAAGTGAACAGATGATTGATCAAACATAAAAGAGAGGTTTTTGATTTAAAATGATTGATAAGTTTCAAAGAGAGAAAGGACTAGTTTTAAAGGAAACGAGAGAGAGAAGAGAGAGAGAAGAGATGTTGGAACAAGCTCCAACATCTCGAGAAACACACAAAACATAAATGAAACAAAGACTAGAAAAACGACCCCTCGGCTTCTGGCGCCTCCTTTGAATCTTGGGCCGGACCTTCACAAATGAGAAAAGAGAGGATTTGGAAGTGTGCAATGGGCCTCGTTAAAAACCTTGTCAAGAAAACCCATAGGGACAAAACTTGACAAGGGAAAAAGAGCACACCAAGCACACTTGTCTCTTTATCCCATTGTTAAGGCCTTCAAGCAAACCAGAGTAGTTGGCTTGGCTTCTTGTTGGTTCAAGGCGCTAAGGACTTTGCCAATTGCTTGGTTTAGTGCCTTAGTTCTTGAACGAGTGATTGGGCCAGTTGGAATGGCTAAGCTCTCCTCAGGTACAAGCTGCTCTGCTTCAAGTCCCTCCTCGGCCACTAGCTGCTCCATTCCATCTTCTTCCTCGGCCAAAGCTGTCTTCCTGAACCTCCTTGTCCATGATCGCATCATCCCCTCCCTCTTGAAAAGGATTTGACCTCAAATCTGGTTCATCTGCAAGAAAAGGAGATAAGTCAGCAACATTAAAACTAGGACTGATATTGTACTTACCTTGGAGATCAACTCTATAAGAGTTATTGTTGATTCGCTTGGTGACTGTGAAAGGGCCATCAATGCGCGGCATAGCTTGGACTTGCGCTCGGCTGGGAATCTTTCTTTGCGAAGATGAATCCAAACTTGATCTCCAGCCTCAAAGATTAGTTCGCGCCGTCCCTTGTTGGCCTTCTTGGCATACTGCCTTGTCTTTTCCTCAATATTCTTCTTTGCCTGCTCATGTATCTTCTTCACCATCTCAGCTCTCTTCTGTCCATCTGCACTCAATCTTTCACTCAAAGGCAGAGGCATTAAATCCAAAGGTGACAGGGGTTTAAACCCATAAACAATTTCAAAAGGAGAGAACTTAGATGCTGAATGCACAGAATGATTATAAGCAAATTCTATATGAGGCAAGCAATCATCCCAATTCTTAAGATTCTTTTTAAGCAGCACACGCAACAAGGTTCCTAAAGTCCGGTTTACAACCTCAGTTTGACCATCAGTTTGGGGATGACAAGTGGTGGAAAATAAAAGCTTAGTCCCTAACTTAGACCACAAGGTTTTCCAAAAGTAACTAAGGAACTTAGTGTCACGATCAGAAACAATGGTGCGCGGCATGCCATGCAATCTAATGACATCTTTAAAGAACAATGCAGCAACATGAGATGCATCATCAGTTTTATTGCATGCAACAAAATGAGCCATCTTAGAAAATCTATCCACAATCACAAAAATGGAATCCTTTCCATGTCTAGTTCTGGGTAAACCAAGAACAAAGTCCATGGAAACATCAGTCCAAGGTTGTGATGGAATAGGGAGAGGAGTATACAAACCGTGGGGTTGGACCTTGGATTTGGCCAACTTACAAGTGGTGCAGCGAGCACATATGCGCTCCACATCTCTAATCATATGTGGCCAATGGAAATGATCTCTCATGATCTGTATAGTCTTGGCAACTCCAAAATGTCCCATAAGTCCTCCTCCATGTGCTTCCCTGACAAACAAGTCCCTCAAAGAACAATTAGGCACACAAAGGCGGTTCTCATAAAAGAGAAACCCATCCTGTCTCACATAGCCAGAAGCAAACTTAGAACAAGCTTGATAAATATCAGAAAAATCAGCATCAGAAGCATATAGTTCTTTAATTTGCTCAAAGCCTAAGAGTTTGGCATCAAGAGTAGAGAGAAGTGTATACCGTCTAGACAATGCGTCGGCCACGACATTGTCCTTACCTTTCTTGTACTTGATCACATAGGGAAAGGTTTCTATGAACTCGGCCCAGCGAGCATGCCTCTTGTTGAGCTTCTGTTGGCCTTTGAAGTGCTTGAGTGATTCATGATCAGTGTGATAACAAACTCCTTGGGCCATAAGTAAGTGCTGCCAAGTTTGTAAGGCTCGGACCAGGCATAGAGCTCCTTATCATAAGTTGGGTAATTGAGAGTGGCTCCTCCAAGTTTCTCACTGAAGTAGGCAATCGGCTTCTTGTCTTGCATGAGAACAGCTCCTATTCCGATTCCTGAGGCATCACACTCAATTTCAAAAGTTTTAAGAAAGTCAGGCAACATAAGAACAGGTGCATTAGTAAGTCGATCCTTAAGAGTCTGAAATGCTTCCTCCTGTGCCTTCTCCCACTTGAACCAACTTCCTTCTTGATAATCTCAGTCATTGGCGCGGCTATGGTGCTAAAATCCTTAACAAACCGCCGATAGAATCCGGCCAAGCCATGAAAGCTCTGACCTCTCCAACGGTCTTAGGACTAGGCCAATCCCGGATAGCTGCGACCTTCTCTTCATCAACCTGTACGCCATCTGCACTCACCACAAAACCTAGAAACACCACATTATGTACAAAAGGTGCATTTCTTAAAGTTGGCGAACAGCTTTCCTCCCTAAGAACTTTCATGACCGCGGCAAGATGCTTAAGATGATCATCAAAGGTCCTGCTATAGATCAGATATCATCAAAATAAACAACCACAAAATGACCAATGAAAGACCTAAGGACATGATTCATCAACCGCATGAAAGTACTTGGCGCATTGGTCAAGCCAAATGGCATCACAAGCCACTCATATAGACCATGCTTGGTTTTAAAGGCGGTTTTCCACTCATCACCTTCCTTCATCCGGATTTGGTGATAACCACTCTTAAGATCAATTTTAGAGAAGATGCAAGAGCCATGTAACTCATCTAAGCATGTCATCAAGTCTAGGAATAGGGTGTCGATACTTTACAGTGATGTTATTGATGGCGCGGCAGTCGACACACATTCTCCAGCTTCCATCCTTCTTAGGAACAAGAAGAACAGGAACAGCACAGGGCTCATGCTCTCTCTAATGTGGCCTTTCTCCATGAGTTCATCCACTTGGCGCTGAAGCTCCTTGGTCTCAACCGGATTGGTTCTGTAAGCCGGCCTGTTTGGTAAAGTGGAGCCGGGGACAAAATCAATCTGGTGCTCAATACCTCGGACAGGAGGCAAGCCTGGTGGACTATCCTCAGGAAAGACATCACTAAAGTCCTGCAAAAGTTGAGCTAGTTCACTCGGAATCTCCGGTGGAGTATGAGTCAAGCCAATCAAGTGTTCCTTATATATAAATAAGAGAAAAGGTTTGTTTAAGTTCAAGGAACGTTTAACCTGTTTTGGCTTCACCAGGAAGTTCTTTGGCTTAGGGATTTAGGTGTCTTGACTTCTTTCCAGCAAGTTGTAACTGATCTTCATAGACTTCTTGTGGACTCAAAGGAATCAAAGTGGTTTTACGGCCCTCATGAAGAAGAGTGTAGCGGTTTGTGAATCCATCATGGATCACACGCCTATCAGATTGCCAAGGCCGTCCTAAGATGATGTGACCGGCGTCCATGGGTAGAATGTCACAAAGGATCTCATCCTTGTAGTTGCCAATGGACAAGGGCACAACCACTTGGTTCTTGACACTCATCTCTCCAGTTTCATTCAGCCAGTTAAGCTTATAAGGCCGCGGATGCTTCTTGATAGTTAGCCCAACTTCTCAACCATAGTTTCACTCGCCACATTGGTACAGCTTCCTCCATCGATGATCAAGCTGCACACCTTTCTTGGACTAAGCACGAGTGTGAAAGAGGTTCTCGCGCTGCTCATCTTGTCAGTCTGACTTGAGTACTCAAGACACGTCTGGCCACCAAAAGTCTGCCTTGGACAGGCACGGCTTCATACTCCTCAGGTTCTTCTTCTTTCTCTGGTTTCTCCGGCTCTGGATCCTCCTCGGACTCAATCTCTCCATTGTCGCGGATGATCATCACTTTCTTGTTCAAGCAATCAGAGGCATAATGCCCAAACCCTTGACACCTAAAGCACTTGAGATCACGGGTTCTGGCTGGTGGAGTGCGCTCAGTCCGGCTCCTGTCTTGATTAGTAGCCAGAGGTTTCATTTCTGACTTGGGCGCGAAAGGTTAGAGTCGCGAGTAAAGGTTGGTCGGCGCGGCTCTGTATTGAATCGAGTGGAGCTTCTCCTCTTCAATTGTGTCTCGGCCAAGACTGCCTTGTGGAACATGGATTCAAGCCCACACAATTTTGCATCTCCACAATATCTTGTATCTCACGGTTCAAGCCTCCAAGGAATCGAGACATAGTGGCCTCGCGATCTTCAACCACATTGGCGCGCAAGAGCATTACCTCCATCTCTTGGTAATATTCTTCCACAGACTTGGAACCCTGAGTAAGCTTCCTGAGCTTAGAGTGTAGCTCACGTTGGTAATGGCCAGGGACAAATCGCTGCCTCATGATGCGCTTCATTTCTTCCCAAGTAGTAACCTCAAAGGCACCACCAATCTCGCGAGCCAAAATGATTTGTTCCCACCATCTCAACGCATAATCGTTGAACTCCGAGACGGCTAGCTTGACACGGTTGTCTCCAATGATGTTGTGCAAGTTAAAGTTGAACTCGCACTTCTTTTCCCAATCCATGTACTCGTCGGATTGTTTCGGCCATGAAACGGTGGAATCCTCATCTTGTAGCCGCCCAAGTTTTCAACCATACGGTTGGGCTCTTCTCGCTGCCTTCTAGCTCGGCGCCGGCTTGAGTGAGAGGAATGACCGCTGCCGTAGTAGGCATGGGCCTGATCGTCACCGAGACCATGAGATGCCATGGGATCATTCCTCTTGTCTCCATCGGAAATATGTATTGGATTCCTAGTCTCCTTCCTTCTTGCCTTGTTTGATCTGTTCTCTCCGATCAAACTCTCCGCCATCATCTTCTTGATCTGATCTAGCAAGGCCTCCCAACACCGCTGGATCCTTCTTCCTTGTCCGTCGCCATGGTACCTGAAATTTAAACCAAAACCGGGCAGTCAAAAGTTCAAAGGAAATATTGTTGCAACAATTTTAAAAATCATAGAAATAATTTTAAAAATTATGCAACCACTCAGAGATGACAGATCTATGTGGAAATGATCAGAATAAATTGTGGCAAAATTATTAAAATTATGGAATAAATTAAAAAGGCAGTGATGGGCGATGAATGATGAAATGGATGATGAACAAATGATTTCAAATGATCTAAAAGTAACCTTGATGAGTAAACAAGCATTGGATGTGAAGGATATGACAATGGAAACAATGAAATGATCAACGGCACAACAACAAAGCAAAATCATATTCAAGATCTACGATTCTCAGATTTGGAAGATGAACAGTTATAAACATAAAAATCGAGATCACTTAGCTTTAAGGGGCTCTGATACCAACTGATACGCCCCTGGATAGATCGGCTTGAAAGCTAAGTGTTTGAGCGGATTGGAACACAAAGGATCCAACAATGGATGATAGATGAATGGATCGAGTGGCTATACTAGAGAACCCGCGGAAATGGAACTCTAACACCACCTTCGACTTGTTGATATTACACACAACAAGTGAACAGATGATTGATCAAACATAAAAGAGAGGTTTTTGATTTAAAATGATTGATAAGTTTCAAAGAGAGAAAAGGGTTTCAGTTTTAAAGGAAACGAGAGAGAGAGAGAAGGGAAGAGAAGAGATGTTGGAACAAGCTCCAACATCTCGAGAACACACACAAAACATAAATGAAACAAAGACTAGAAAAACGACCCCTCGGCTTCTGGCGCCTCCATTTGAATCTTGGGCCGGACCTTCACAAATGAGAAAAGAGAGGATTTGGAAGTGTGCAATGGGCCTCGTTAAAAACCTTGTCAAGAAAAACCCATAGGGACAAAAACTTGACAAGGGAAAAAGAGCACACCAAGGCACACTTGTCTCTTTATCCCATTGTTAAGGCCTTCAAGCAAACTAGAGTAGTTGGCTTGGCTTCTTGTTGGTTCAAGGTGCTAAGGACTTTGCCAATTGCTTGGTTTAGTGCCTTAGTTCTTGAACGAGTGATTGGGCCAGTTTGGAATGGCTAAGCGCTCCTCAGAAACAAGCTGCTCTGCTTCAAGTCCCTCCTCGGCCACTAGCTGCTCCATTCCATCTTATTTCTCGACCAAAGGCTGATCTTCCTGAACCTCCTTGTCCATGATCGCATCATCCCCTCCCTCTTGAAAAGGATTTGACCTCAAATCTGGTTCATCTGCAAGAAAAGGAGATAAGTCAGCAACATTAAAACTAGGACTGATATTGTACTTACCTTGAAGATCAACTCTATAAGAGTTATTGTTGATTCGCTTGGTGACTGTGAATGGGCCATCAATGCACGGCATGAGCTTGGATTTGCGCTCGGCTGGGAACCTTTCTTTGCGAAGATGAATCCAAACTTGATCTCCAACCTCAAAGATTAGTTCGCGCCGTCCCTTGTTGGCCTTCTTGGCATACTGCCTTGTCTTCTCCTCAATATTCTTCTTTGCTTGTTCATGAATCTTCTTCATCATCTCAGCTCTCTTCTGTCCATCTGCAGTCAATCTTTCACTCAAAGGCAAAGGCATTAAATCCAAAGGTGAAAGGGGTTTAAACCCATAAACAATTTCAAAAGGAGAGAACTTAGATGCTGAATGCACAGAATGATTATAAGCAAATTCAACATGAGGCAAGCATTCATCCCAATTCTTAAGATTCTTTTTAAGCAGCACACGCAACAAGATTCCTAAAGTCCAGTTTACAACTTCAAAACATCTCGAGAACACACACAAAACATAAATGCAAAAAGACTAGAAAAACGACCCCTCGGCTTCTGGCGCCTCCATTTGAATTCTCTCTTGGGCCTGACCTTCACAAATGAGAAAAGAGATGATTTGGAAGTGTGCAATGGGCCTCGTTAAAAACCTTGTCAAGAAAAACCCATAGGGACAAAAACTTGACAAGGGAAAAAGAGCACACCAAGGCACACTTGTCTCTTTATCCCATTGTTAAGGTCTTCAAGCAAACTAGAGGAGTTGGCTTGGCTTCTTGTTGGTTCAAGGTGCTAAGGACTTTGCCAATTGCTTGGTTTAGTGCCTTAGTTCTTGAACGAGTGATTGGGAAAGTTGGAATGGCTAAGCTCTCCTCAGGAACAAGCTGCTCTGCTTCAAGTCTCTCCTCGGCCACTAGCTGCTCCATTCCATCTTCTTTCTCGGCCAAAGGCTGATCTTCCTGAACCTCCTTGTCCATGATCGCATCAGTTTTAGACTTTGGCCGAGACTTCAGACGGACGGGTGAGATTCTGGCCGAGCGTGAAACGTTCGTTTCTCGGCCAGCCGGACTGCGCGGTTGGGCGCTGTTCTCGATAGAGCCGTCTGGAGCAGTCTTCACTCTTTTGGTTGTAACTCCTTTTCTACTCATCCAAATTAGGCCGTTCCAGTTGCGTTGGAAAGTTAACTCAATCAGAGCACGCAGGGAACTGGTCTTGATGAAATCCATTGAGTAGATCTTTTTCTGGGCCCTCTTAAAGTTGATGCTTGTGCATGGAGCGGCTTGAAGTGCAAATCCTATGGTTTTGCTCCAAAATGCATCATTTCACCTGTTTAGACTCTAGACACAAAAACCATTAGAAAACAATACTAAAATAGTATAAAAAGCATGTAAAATAGAGGTATATCAACTCCCCCAGACTTAGATCTTTGCTTGTCCTCAAGCAAAAAGAATCTAAATCCGTGAAAGAGGTTTGAAAACGTGGAAACTCCCTTGCTCTTTTGAATATCCTGTGAAAGGTTCCTTTCCTGTATTCCACTAAGAACATAGGCAACATAAGGTTAGCTTCACATACACCCTGCAAGTTTAGCGAACAATACCAACCCAACTAGTCTCATCCAGCAATCCAAACTCTCTATTGCTAACCTCTTGCATAAATTTAAAGCGTGAATTCTTTATCAAGGGGACATCGATCAATTGAACTTGTTCTTACCCACTTGATCTTCTCCAAGATTGTCTTTCAAGTGCAATGAGTTCTTTTCCTCTCTCTTTCTCACATCAGAACTTTGAAAGGTCAATTTCTCCCTACTTTTCTAGGGTATCATTTTATTTTTTCTATTGACCCTTCTTTCAACCACAGGATAAGTCTTTAGCTTGTTCCTTGTTTGACTAAGGTATTCCATAAGACATGAAGGTACAGACATATGCATTCCTCATGCTTACTTGTTTTCCTTGTGCTCTTTGAGCTTTTTCTCATAACATTACTTACCATTTGGGATGGGAGAGAGAGGAGAACTCTTTAAAGATTAGACAAATCTTATTGAAAATCAAGCAAGGAACTGTCGACATGTATGCCAATCCCCTTGACAAGAGTAATTAAGATTGATTAAGGGTGAGGTTAACTCTAGATTGCTTGGTTACCTTAGAAATTTTGCTGAGCTAGCATGTCGATCCACTGTAAGAGCTTCTGTTAGGCTTGTGCCTTTAGCTGGTTTCTGCTCTAGGGTCATGGATTGTTAGCACAACACTCTCAATTCTCAAAGCAAGTTCATAACTTCCGGACTGGTTTTTGACTCAATAAAACTTTTTGAAAAACATGAAACAAAGAATAAAACATAAGAAAAGAAAGAAAAATGCATTAGTAACACAATAAAACTCCCCCCAGACTTAACTTGCACCGTCCCGGTGAAAGCAAATCACATTAAGGTGAGAGGTAATATTCAAAACAAAAGAAAATTAAAGAAAGAAAATGAAAAGAAATGACCTTCAATGGGTTGCCTCCCATTCAGCGCTTTGTTTAAAGTCATTAGCTTGACTGTATGGCACTTCCTTAAGGATCTGGTGGGTCGCCAAGAGCGAGTGTGGTCTCCTGTGGTATGGTGGTGGAGGCTAGGTAGGGTTTTAACCTTTGTCCATTGACTGTAAAGTCTCCTCCCATTGATCCCATAATACCACTGCTCCATAGGGGCGAACTTCTTTAATCCTGAATGGTCCTGACCATCTTGAGCGAAGCTTTCCTGGAAAGAGTTTCAACCTTGAGTTGAATAGTAGAACTTGGTCGTTTGGCGCAAAGTTCTTTGGGATGATCTTGCGGTCATGGAAAGCTTTGGTTCTCTCCTTATAGATCTTTGAATTCTCATAAGCCAGATGCCTAATCTCATCAAGCTCATTCAGCTGAATCAATCTTCTTTCTCCTGCTGTCTTTAGGTTGAAGTTCAACTCCTTAATAGCCCAAGCTGCTTTGTACTCCAGCTCCACAGGTAAATGACATGCTTTACCATAAACAAGATGAAAGGGGGTGGTACCAAGTGGTGTTTTGAAGGCAGTGCGGTATGCCCATAGAGCATCATCAAGTTTGGCACTCCAATCCTTCCTTGTCTTGCCTGTTGTCTTCTGAAGTATGCTCTTGAGTTCTCTGTTTGAGATCTCAACTTGTCCACTAGTTTGGGGTGGTAAGGAGAGGCAACTTTGTGAGTGACTCCATGCTTCTTCAAAAGGTTGGCAAAGATTCTGTTTATGAAATGTGAACCTCCATCACTTATGACTATCCTAGGCACTCCAAACCTTGGAAAGATGATGGATTTAAACATCTTGATGACCACCTGTGCATCATTAGTTGGGCTGGCGATGGCTTCCACCCATTTGGAGACATAATCAACTGCCACTAGAATGTATTGGTCGCCAAAAGAGGTTGGGAATGGTCCCATAAAGTCAATGCCCCAAACATCAAAAACTTCAACTTCTAGTATAAAGTTCTGTGGCATCTCATTCCTCTTGCTTATATTTCCCATTCTTTGGCAAGCATCACATCTTGATATGAATGCATGAGCATCCTTAAACATAGTTGGCCACCAAAATCCAGCTTGTAGGACTTTGGATACTGTCTTGTAAGTGGCAAAGTGCCCTGCATAACTAGAACTATGACAAGCAAACAATATTCCTTCTACTTCTTCCTCAGGTATGCATCTTCTAAACATTCCATCTGAACATTTCTTGTATAAGAAAGGTTCGTCCCAGTAGTACTTGCATTTTACATAGTTTTAGCACATCTTTTATGCATCTTTTGCATAGTTTTAGCATCCATTAGCATCATATCTTGTTCCTTTTCTCTTCTTATGCATTCATAGTAGTTTTAGGTTGCATTTGCATACATATGCATGTTTGGTCCTTTGAAATAGGTCTTTTGGAGCATTCTGGAGCATATGGGACGAGGAGCATGGAGGGACTTGGCGCATGGACGCAGCTCAACTGGATACGCAAAGGAAGAAGAGGAAGCCATCTTGAAGACCAGCTCGACCATCTACTCGACCAACCGGTCGAGTTCCTCAACTCGACCGGCCAAGCTTCAACTCGATCGAGCTGAGAAGTCAACAGTCAAACCCGAAAAATGTTGCTTCCCCCTTGACTTCCCTTTGACCCTAAACCTAATCCTCTTTGTATTTAAGGGCTAAAGCCACGAAAAAACCACCAAGCTTTAGATTACTTTTTGTTTTAGTTTCTTTTTAATTATTGTCTTTTACTTTTTAGAGAGCTCTAATCCTATCTTTGTGTTCTTGAAGCTCTTGCTTCTTGAATCCTAGATCCTGGATAATCTCTTTTGTATTTGCACTTGCTTATTTCAATAAAAGTTGTTTATTTATCTCCTCTTTCTTATGATGTTTTTTCATTGCATTTGCTTGTGTTTACATTCATGTGTAGTGAGTAGTTTACCCTATCTTGAACCCTAATTCTCATTAGCTTGTTAAAGTCGCTGCCTTTATCGCTTTTTACTTCAACTCGACCCCAAACTCGATCGAGCTCGGTACTCTGTTCCAACTCGACTCGAGTCCTTGGTCGAGCTGTTGCTCTACTGCTTTTATTTTATTTCTGCATTGCATTTCATTTGTTAGGTTGTTAGTGTTACATTCATCATCACTGCTTGCTTGACTTCCTGGTTGTTTCATATTCTCATAGAGTGACAAGTTTCCCATTTTGGATTGATAACCCTTTGTACTATAACAACTATCATGGTTAAAGGGAATTGTTGACTGTGTTTGTGTTTGCATCTTACCACCTCATCATATACCACTGATTGCATTCCACACATCTCATTTCATATCTTTTCACATCCACACACAAATCCTATCATCAATTTGGCGCCGTTGCCGATTTGGGATTATTTGTTGCATTTGAGTTTCAAACATACTTGGACGATCAAGCTATACCACCCCTGTTCTATTGTACTGCTGGGTTTTTGTCTCTTTTTGCAGGTGTATGCGAACTCGATCGAGTCGGTCTACAGAGGACTTGGTCGAGCTAGACTTCACAACGGGTAGAAAGAGGGTTCAGAGGTCACAGAGGGTACAAGAGGAACCTGAGGTGCTTGTTGCTGATACAATGGAGTACCAGAGGGGAATGGAAACCCTTTGGGAAATGGACTCGGTCGAGCTAGGCAAACTCGACCGATTGGTCAAGGAGATGCTCCAAACCGCCACCAACAGAGACAAGGGATTGTTCCACCACCAGTGCAGAACCACAACTTTGAGATCAAGCTGGGAATGATCAACCTTGTTCAGAACAAGATGTTCCATGGATTGCCAAGTGAAGACCCCATTGACCACCTTGATGAGTTTGATAGGCTTTGTGATTTGACAAAGATCAATGGTGTCTCTGAAGATGCCATCAAGCTGAGACTCTTTCCTATGTCTCTAGCTGACAAAGCTCACCAATGGGAGAAGAGCTTGCCCCATGGCACAATCACCACTTGGGATGAATGCAAGAAGGCCTTTCTTGCTAAATTTTTCTCCACCGGTCGCACAGCCAAGCTTAGAGGAGAGATATCCAGCTTCATCCAGCGAAACAATGAGACATTCGCAGAGGCTTGGGAGAGATTCAAAGGCTACACAAGTCAGTGCCCACACCATGGATTCAACAATGAATCCTACTCTCTACACTTTATAGAGGATGCTTGCCTAGGTATAGGGAGATGCTAGACACAGCTAGCAATGGAACTTCCTCAACCAGGATGTAGATGATGGCTGGCAACTTGTGGAGAACATGGCCATATCAACAGAGTGCTATGGAGAACACTATGAAGTACAGACGGAGCTCGACCGCGCACTCGATCGAGCTGGATGCTCAGATGAGAAAAGACATGCTTGCACTCAAGTCGAAGTTGGACAAACTGATCTTAGCCCAATTCCCTGCCAAGCATGTCAACTATGTCTCAGAAAAAGTCCTAGTCAAGGGTCAGGATGGGGAGGAGACAACACATGAGGTTTGCTATACTCAAAATAGACAAGGAAGCTATAGGAATCCTCAACAAGGAAGATACAACAGTTATCCAGCCCCCTGGCCGCACCAACAACTAAGTGTTCCACAATGTTTCAACCAAAGGACTACTCACACCCAACCAAATCAAGATTGGGATATGAAGGAAATGCTCCAACAACTTTTACAAGGGCAAGCCAAAGGATCACTGGAAATGAATAACAAGCTGGTTGAGATCAACTCCAAACTTGAGTCATTAACTTCGAGAGTACAAATGATATACCTCTAATTTACCCACTTTTTATACTGTTTTAGTATTGTTTTCTAATGGTTTTTGGCAGGTTTTCTATCTAAAAAGGTAGTTTTGCTGTGTTTATAATGTCTAGAGTCTAAGCAGGTGAAATGATGCATTTTGGAGCAAAACCATAGGATTTACACTTCAAGCCGCTCCATGCACGAGCACCAACTTCAAGAGGGCCCAGAAAAAGATCTACTCAATGGATTTCATCAAGATCAGTTCCATGCGTGCTATGATTGAGTTAACTTTCCAACGCAACTGGAACGGCCTAATTTGGATGAGTAGAAAAGGAGTTACAACCAAAAGAGTGGAGACTGTCCAGACGGCTCTATTGAGAAAGCAGCGCCCAACCGCGCAGTCCGGCTGGCCGAGGAACGCATGTTCCGCGCTCGGCCAAAACTGTGTCTGTAGTAACCCTGTTGTGAGATGAGGAGATTTGACTAATGGACTCCATGGAGAGGAGCTAGAAGTTAAATAAAACATTTCTATCAAAGAAAATCGGGAAACGAACGAGTGGAAGTCAAGATGGACAAGTTTACGCGCATACGGACGAACGCGGTGTATCGAGACGGCCATGTCCGAAACACGAAAAATGGAAAGTTGTGGCATTGAGACAGAAACTTCAGGACAACAAGAGGAAGACAAAACAAGATGTTCGGTCGAGAGAGAAGTTGATTTGGTCGAGTAGATCTCGAGATACGAAGCTGGCCGCTTGATGGCTATGCCGAAGGGCGGCAAAGCTTGTATCGGCGATCGGGTCATGGATTAGACCAAGGAGGATGTTGGCGTGGACTTAGGGAAGACTAAACCTATGTTTTGTGTGGAGAGTGAGGCCAAGGACATCACGGATTGATCGACCAATCAGAACGTGATAAGTGGCGAGAATGTTCCCTTTAAGGAATCACATGCCTAAAGAAGAGGAGAGTTGTTTGCCATTAAGAAAGAAACATTCTTTCTTGCATGGGGAGAATCTTTGTCATCTCTACAACATTGTTGACACCTAGAAGATTCTTGAGAATGAGGAGAAGAGAAGAAGACACATGCTAGCTTCTAAGAGAGTACATGTGATACCCCGTATCAAGACCTAAAACATCCCAAAGGCCGGGATGGGAAGATCAACACTCTGGGATTGGAAGACAAAGACGTTGGATCTAAACCAGAGATCACAACGAAGACTTGGATCAAGACAGGATCAAGAACGATCGAGCAGAAGTGAAGATACAACAAGATTGTCCAGGTGGGACGATCATTGTACGAACATGGGAAGAGTCAACAGGACGACGAAATATCAAAGTTCTCCAAATCAAGAAGAGAAGAGTTTGGACGACATAAGAGACCATTCTAAGAAGTTTGGTCGAAGCAGAATGCAAATCGGACGAGCAGATTGAGAGATGGGATGGACGCCAAGATCTATCCCGCAACGACTGCAAGAACCGTAAATGTTCGGGATGGAGGTATTCCGCACATTTCCAAGCAACTATGTGGAAGCTCAGAAACATGGAAATGAGAGAAGGATTAAAATAGGAGATTTTAATTCTCAAGCACGACGGGGACGAAACCCTCCAGACAGGGAAACGTACGAAACCCTCTGGACGAGGAAACGTACTTTTGGAGCAATCTTGTTCTAAGCCAATCAAGTGGTGACACCAGCTACTTGGAGAAGATAAGGATGATCATAACCAGTATGGAGAAGACATGCAGCTACTACAATGGAGCCAAAACCATTCAGCCAATCAAGTAGAGACATTGAGCTATTGGAATGGGACGAAATTGTGTTGGACCAATCGTGCGTCAACACTACCTAGGAGAGAGTGAAGCCGTGGATAAGCATTCTTATTGGATGATCTTATCCAAAAAAATGGACGAATCAAATGGAGATACACAGCAGCTTCTAAGACGGGCCAATCATGTAGCAACATCCAGCTACTGAATGAAGACGAAGCAAGCCTAAACCAATTGGGCAACGACACCAGCTGCTAAAGAGGAGAGAGGGCGTGGATAAACTCCAAGAAGACCTAATGCTATCAGGGAGAGACACCCAGCTGCTCATGAAAGACAAGGATTGTCCAAACCAATCAGACGGAGACACAGAAGTGCTCAATGGAGACGAAATGGACTTGGACGAATCAGGATGCAACACCAACCACTGAGAGAGAGGAGAAGCTTCAGGAGTGGATGAGAAGCAAGTGGAGAGATGCAGAAACGGATTGGATCAAGAGCTGACCAATCAGACAGAAGCACCCAGCATCTTAATGGATAAGATGAGTTATATCCAATCGGCACGACTACACCACATGCTTGGGGGAAGTCGGCTCATTGGATGAGCATTGAGAGGGGATAGGAATGACGTGTGTCATGTCCTGAGACGCCCTAGAGGCCACCAATCAAAGCTACCTAGCCTAGACCGCCTGGATGTCGCGTTCTGAGGCAGTGTAGGTGCCACCAAGCAAAGCTATGCTAGGCCTAGGTCTCCATGTGTCTGCGCATGACTGGAGACGTCCCAAGAAGCCAGGCAGCCTCCTGAACTCCTATAAATACGCTCCTCCAGCCCCAAGTCCAAACCATTCCATTCCCAAAGCTAGAGAGCACCTGAAAAGTGATTAGAGAGTAATTAAGAAAGTTTTCTTAATTAAGTGAGGTTAGTGGAAGATTAGAGTAGGTCAAGATCAAAGCTTAAGGAAAGCTAGGAGGGTCTTGAAGTCTTCTTAAAGTGGTGAGTCTTGGTGTTATAGTTTTAGTCTTTTGGATCTATGTTTGTGTATGCAGGTTGTATGAACACCAAAGCATGGGAGATGCTTTCTGTTCATATTGGTTATTGGTTCTGTAGTATAACTCTCTAAACAATAAGGTTTAGTAAAAATTGTGGAGAGTTATGCTGCAGAAATTTATATAATGTGTTATGAGGTTGTGATGGGTAATCTTCTAGGAGAGAAGTTATGCCGTCAAATCTCTTGTGTGTTTATATGCAGGTTTGCATTGTTGTGAGGTTGTGATGGGTAATCTTCTAGGGAGAGAAGTTATGCCGTCAAATCTCTTGTGTTGTGAGGTTGTGTCGGGTAACCTTCGGGGAAGGTTAGGCCGCCAGATCTCTTTTGTGTGTGAGGTTGTGTTGGGTAACCTTCGGGGAAGGATATGCCAACAGATCTCTTTTCTGTGTAAGATTGTGATGGGTAACCTTCGGGGAAGGTTATGCCGTCAGATCTTGTTAGTGTAGATGCATATCTATACATTAGGTGATGTGAGATTGTGGATGGCTATGCCGCCAAATCTCATAGATGCATCGGTTGTGGGGTTATAGCATGGCTATGCCGCTAAACCTCGAGTGCATGCTAACATGGTGGTGCGTAAGGCCCATATGTTGAGTATGACTCCGATGTGGAAAGATCACGGACGGCTGAGCCGCCAGATCTTTCGAGGTTCGTGTGGGTACTCTTCCGAGGCAAGGGAAGCTCTGCCGCAGAACCGAGGGTATGAGGCATAGTGGTGCGTAAAGGCCCATATGCTAAGTACTGAGAACATGTGGCGTGTCTAACCACATGTTGTCTAGGAAGGTGTAGTCAAGCGCATTCTCGCACGTCAGAGCCCAACCGGATTGGCAGCGTGGAGGCTGTGCATGAAGGGAGGAAGACTCGGAGGATAACCTGGTCAGCTGCCTTGGCCGAGTATGGTACCATATGACGATATGGGATCCAACCAGACATTGGCATGGTGCGCCAGTAAGGCCAATAGATGGAAGGATGAACCGGGTACCGCGATGGACTGTAGTGCCCGGGTGAAGGCGTTCATCTAGTTTCTGTGTGATTCCGGATGAGCGTGAACCTTCACAGGCGTGGGCAGAGAATGTGGCTAATGCACCTAGGCGCCTTATTGCATATAGAAAACAAGTATTAGATACTTGTCTAGGTTTGCATGGGCATTGCATATAGCTTGTTTGATTGTTGTTATAGTCTTGGGTTGATCGTACCTGTTCTTGTTTGATTGGGGTACGGTTAGTCTTAAGACTATGACATCAATATTGCATGTGATTGCATATGTTGTGTTGTGCTAACCTCATTGCAGGTGGAGGCGGGATTACAACCCGCGGCGTTTGTGTTTGGAGTTTAGGGAATCCCCCTTGTATAGAGGTCCTAGACTCACTGAGTAATATTAGATTACTCATTCCTTTTGTTTAATGTTTTCAGGTAACCGTAGAGGTGTGAAGTAGAGCGGACCGCTGCAGGCAGTAGGCGCCAGAATAGTTTTGTGGTATGTTTTTGTAAAATAATGGTTTGTTGTTTGGTTTTGGAACTAAGGATCGATCCGCATGTTTTTAAGTCGGATTTTGTAAGCACTCTGATATTTTAATAAAGGAAAGTTTTATGTAAAGACCTTATGTTCCAATGATATTAGCTTGGTCCGGGCTAACACAACTCCTGACCGAAGTACGGGTTGGCAAGCCTTAGGCTTTGGTCAAGAGGGTCGAGTTCGTGGAACGGGCTGACCTGGGCTCTGATTTGTTCTTAGTCTGGGATGGCCTATTCGGCGAACATCGACATTTTGTGGCGCTTCTCGGAACGTCTGTGCCTAGGACGGTTCGGGGGTGTTACAGTACATGTGGAGCGATGTGATGTGTAACTTCCAAGAATGTTCATACAATGAACATGGACGTGATACACTGTATTTGGCACTATACTAGGAAGAGTATATGAGTTAGTGGAGGTGCAGACCTAAGGGATAGGTGCATCTTTTGATTGGTTTGTTCTCTCGTGGAGTGCGCGGAGAAAGGAAGAAGAGATGGGGTGTGGACATTTGGCGATTGTGTTGCATGCATGAGGACGTGATGAGACTTGAGAGAGGAGAGTGAGAGTGAGACAAGAGATAGAGACACACATGTCGAACCAGGGAGTAACCTCACATGTATAAAAAGACATGTGTTGATTGGATGGATCAAAGGAAGGAAACGGCGACAAGTGTCATTCTTTTTGACAAATGTCAAAAGAGACATGACAAGTGTCACAACCAAGGTGACTCACGACCACTTAGCCTATAAATAGAGTGCCTCAGCCTCACTTGCTTCCATTTCCCCATTCCTTGTGCTCTTGTTCTTCTTGAGAGCAAGAGAGACAGTTTTAGCGAGAAAGTTGTGAGTGTTCTTTTTAAAGAGTTTGAGTGAGTTTAGTGGAGTTAGGGGGAGAGTTCTAGCTAAGGGAGTAGCTAGAGGAAGTGGAGAGTAGCGTGTGGTGTAGGCCGTTCATCAAAGTGGTTTGGTGAGTACGGTGAAGTGGCTCCGAGAGTAGTCACTCTTTCTTGTTTGTTTGTGTGTTGCATTCTAGATCATTTAGAAACTTGTGGTTTCTTTTGATTAGATGCATGTGAGTGTGTAGTGGTTGTTAGTATGTGTGATACTAACTTTGTGGTTGCAGGAAGTATGAACGCTAAGCAGGAGGCTTACCGTTATACTTTTGTGTTTTGTGTGGTGATAGCTTTTGTTAAAGCTTGTTTGTTGCATGCATGTTAGGATCCAAGAAGAAACGTGCGATGTTCTTCTTGGGATTGATTGCATGATTGGTTGTGTGTGTGTGGTGTAGTTAGTTTGTGAAACTAACGATTTGTGGTGTAGGGAAGTGAAGAAACGCCTAAGTGTTCAAAGTGTGATTAACGAGTTTTGTGCAGGGTTGAGAAGGAACACTTAGCGCGGTTTCTTGTTGTTGTGTGAGAGATCATAGCGAAAGCTATGGATCTACTTTGCGTGTGTGTTGTGTGGGATCATAGCGAAAGCTATGGATCTATTTTGTGTGTGTGTTGTGTGAGATCATAGCGGAAGCTATGGATCTATGTTGTGTGTGTTGTAAGGGGACATAGCGTGTTATAAGCTATGGACCTATTGTGTGTGGTGTGTGAGATCATAGCCCAATGCTATGGATCTTTGTGTGTGAGGTCATAGAAACCCTATGGACCTAGTAGTGCGTAAATAGATCATTGTGTGTGTTTGATCAATGATCTTAGCGGTGTATCGTGATGCTCCTCCTCCCTTGCGGTTCATTCACTGAGAAACCCTCTTGGATGGATCGTTAGGATGACTCAGAGGGTACTTGGGTCGCTCCCATGTTTTCCTGTTTTGCTTTTGAATTTTTAGTTTTTGATTTCTTTTCTTTGATTTTTGCTTTTGTTTTTGTTTTTCCTTTTAGATTTAACTTGTTTCCAAGACTCTTTTCAGGTGCATGACTAGGAGGTCCAACAAGGACAACCTAGTTGAACATCCAGAGATTAGACAAGCTTGAGAAGCAACTTAGGAAGCAAAAGCCCAAGAGATGGCCGACGAAGCAGCTCGCGCTCACGCCGCTGAAGTGGCGCGCGCTCAATGAAGAAGGAAGAGATCCACCTCCTCCTCCTCCTAACCCTGCTGGAGATGTGAACGCACAACCCCAAGCGGAGCACCTACAATCGGAGACTATGACTCTGCCGATGCTTTCTTCATGGATAGAAACCCTATCCATCCACCACTTCCTGCAAGGAATGACTATGAGATCAAGCCTCAGATCATTGCATTGGTTAGACAGAACCAATTCAATGGCCTTCCAGCTGAGCACCCTCTTGATCACATAGAAAACTTTGAAGAAATTTGCAGCACTACAAGATCCAATGGAGTCTCTGCTGACTACCTTAAGTGCAAGCTCTTTTCATTCTCTCTTGGCGACAAAGCTTCAAGATGGTTGAAGTCTCTGCCAGCTCACTCCATCACCACTTGGGATGAGTACAAGGCTGCATTCATCAACCACTTCTACACCAAACAGAGATCAATTTCTGTAAGGAACAAGATCTCCACTTTCGCCAAGCCAACAATGAGTCTTTCTATGAGGCGCTAGATCGATTCAAGGAGTACATTAGGGACTGCCCTAATCATGGTTTCAATGAGGGAAACCTATGGAACATCTTCTATCGTGGCATGACCACAAGTACAAGCTTTCATTGGACAGCAAGCAATGGAAACTTCATGACCAAGACTGTTGATGAAGCTAAGGTTCTTATTGAGAATCTTGCAGCTAGTGATTGTAACAACTGTCCTGATTATGACCGCTCAAGCCGCACCACTACTAGCTCCCCTGATTCTTTTCAAATGACTGAACTCAAGAACATGATGGCTCAAGTTCTTAAGGGACAGCTCAAGCATATCAATGCAATAGAAGGGATGAGTGATGCTAATGAAGATTCATCAAGAGAATGCATGGGAGATTTCTCTAATGAAGCCAATGAAGAAGATGTGAACTACATTGGAAACTATGGGAACAAGGGATACAATCCAAGCTATCGCCCAAACCCCAACATGTCTTATAGAAACCCCAATGTGGAGAATCCTCAAGACCAAGTGTATCCTCCAAGGTATCCACAACAACAAAGACCTCCTTACCAATCTCAAGGAAGTCAATTTCAGCCAAGGCAAGGATATGAGCAGAGATCATCATATCCGCCCAAGGAGCCATATGCTTCTTCACCAAATCAAGCTCCTCCAAACCAACAAGGTGGGAGATTTGAAGGAATCCTCCAACAGATCATGGATGGCCAGAAGAGAAACACTAAAGAGATGTATGAGAAGATGGACACTTTGTTCAGCAATCTCAACACCAAGTATGATGCTGTTGCCACTCATGTGAAGAAACTAGAGACTCAAGTCACTCAAACTATGGAAGCTGTTAAGAGACAGGAAGCTGAATCCAAGAAGTCCTTTTGCAACTCAGCCGCCATAGAAGAAAGATTTGAAGACCAAGTTCCAGAATGGATGCTTTCAAAACCTACTGTTGATTGCATGATTTGGCCTGAAGAGAATTACCCAGAGAGAGAGTCCAATCGAGCTAGAAAGAGAAGACTCTTCCCAAAGATTATCCCCAAGACAGATAACTCAGGAAAGTTTGTTGTGCCTTGTATCATCAAAGGTAACATTCTTGAGCAATCTTTGTGTGACACAGGAGCCAATGTGAACATCATGTCTAAGAGGATAGCTGACAAGATAGGCCTCACCAAGATAGAGCCATCATCCATCTCCATCAACTATGCTGATTCATTCTCACAAACCCCTATGGCTTTGTGCCTAATGTGATGGTGCAGATTGGAAATTGCATTTGCATACATATGCATGTTTGGTCCTTTGAAATAGGTCTTTTGGAGCATTCTGGAGCATATGGGACATGAGGAGCATGGAGGGACTTGGCACATGGAAGCAGCTCAACTGGACACGCAAAGGAAGAAGGGAGAAGCCATCTTGAAGACCAGCTCGACCCTACTCGACCAACCGGTCGAGTTCCTCAACTCGACCGGCCAAGCTTCAACTCGATCGAGCTGGAAGTCAAAGTCAAACCCGAAAAATGTTGCTTCCCCCTTGACTTTCCTTTGACCCTAAACCTAATCCTCTTGTATTTAAAGGCTCTAAGCCACGAAAAAACCACCAAGCTTTAGATTATTTTGTTTTAGTTTCTTTTAATTTATTGTCTTTTACTTTTTAGAATCTAATCCCATCTTTGTGTTCTTGAAGCTCTTGCTTCTTGAATCTAGATCCTGGATAATCTCTTTGTATTTGCACTTGCTTATTTCAATAAAAGTTGTTTAATTTCATCTCCTCTTTCTTATGATGTCTCTTTTATTGCATTTGCTTGTGTTTACATTCATGTGTAGTGAGTAGTTACCCATTAGGGTTTGAGATGGGATAGATTAGAGGTTTCATATGCTTAATCCTTCTAGCTTATGGTCTTAATCTAGATTCTCTCTCTTTTGGATAGATCTTAAGGCTACATGACCACTACCCCTGGCTTGTAAGTCCTTAGGCGATTCCCCACACGAAGTGATGGCATTCGCTGGAAAAGATCCACTAAGAGCTCCAATATCTCTTGCTCTAGACAATAGAGGTCTAAGGGGTTGGATGGATTAGTTTGGGCAATGATCCTAGCCTCCAAGGTTTGATTCTCACTGGCTAACCCCCTGTTTCTGAGATCATTCCTTGGTTGATAGCCTCACCTTGGGAAAGGGTTGGCTAGGCATTGAGAAGCCCAATATCAAGAGAAGCCTTGATACAAGGAGTTTTAAGAGCTAGATTGATTAAGTGTAGATTCCTTTGATTGCAAAACCCTGTCTTGAACCCTAATTCTCTCTTTATCTTGTTAAAGTCGTCACCTTTAGCTTTGTTTGTCTCAACTCGTCCCTAAACTCGATCGAGCTGGTACTTTGCTCTACTCGACTCGAGTCTTGGTCGAGCTGACACTTCACTGCTTTTTTACTTTTATTGCACTGCATTTCATTATTTAGGTTGTTAGTGTTACTTCAAATCTAACTGCTTGCTTGACTTCCTGGTTGTTTCATATTCTCATAGAGTGACAAGTTTCCCATTTTGGATTGATAACCCTTTGTACTACAACTATGATGGTTAAAGGGAATTGTTGACTGTGTTTGTGTTTGCATCTTACCACCATCATATACCACTGATTGCATTCCACTCATCTCATTTCATATCTTTTCACATCCACACACAAATCCTATCATCAATTTGGCGCCGTTGCCGATTTGGGAATATTTTTGTTGCATTTGAGTTTCAAACACACTTGGACGATCAAGCTATACCACCCCTGTTCTATTGTACTGCTGGGTTTTTGTCTCTTTTTGCAGGTGTATGCGAACTCGATCGAGTCGGTCAAGAAGACTTGGTCGAGCTAGATTACAACGGGTAGAAAGAGGGTTCAGAGGTCACAGAGGGTACAAGAGGAACCTGAGGTGCTTGTTGCTGATACAATGGATGTACCAGAGGGGAATGGAAACCCTTTGGGAATGGACTCGGTCGAGCTAGGCAAACTCGACCGATTGGTCAAGGAGATGCTCCAAACCGCCACCAACAGAGACAAGGGATTGTTCCACCACCAGTGCAGAACCACAACTTTGAGATCAAGCTGGGAATGATCAACCTTGTCCAGAACAAGATGTTCCATGGATTGCCAAGTGAAGACCCCATTGACCACCTTGATGAGTTTGATAGGCTTTGTGATTTGACAAAGATCAATGGTGTCTCTGAAGATGCCATCAAGCTGAGACTCTTTCCTATGTCTCTAGCTGACAAAGCTCACCAATGGGAGAAGAGCTTGCCCCATGGCACAATCACCACTTGGGATGAATGCAAGAAGGCCTTTCTTGCTAAGTTTTTCTCCACCGGTCGCACAGCCAAGCTTAGAGGAGAGATATCCAGCTTCATCCAGCGAAACAATGAGACATTCGCAGAGGCTTGGGAGAGGTTCAAAGGCTACACAAGTCAGTGCCCACACCATGGATTCAACAATGAATCACTACTCTCCACTCTTTATAGAGGATGCTTGCCTAGGTATAGGGAGATGCTAGACACAGCTAGCAATGGGAACTTCCTCAACCAGGATGTAGATGATGGCTGGCAACTTGTGGAGAACATAGCTAACTCAAATGGAAGCTATGGAGAAGAGTATGATCGCACCAACCGGAGCTCGACCCACCACTCGATCGAGTCAGACGAAAAGTTGAGAAAAGATGTTAAGGCATTGAATGAGAAGTTGGATAAGCTGATCCTAGCTCAGTCCACAATGAAGAAAGTCAACTTTGTGTCTGCTGAGGAGATGGAACCAGTCCAAGAAGGGGAGGATACACAATTTGCTGAGGTGTGCTACATGAGCAATGGGCAAGGAGGTTACAACAAAGGATACTATAACTACAAGTCCAACCCTGCCATGTCATACCGCAACACTGATGTTGCTAACCCTCAGGACCAAGTCTATCCTCAACAACAAGCAGCTCGATCGAGTCAAGGTGCCACAACATGGGTATGGTCAAAAGAACAATTACCAAGGACCACAAGGCACTTTCCCTGGACAACAAATGAATATCCCACCAGGCTTCCCCCACCAACCGCCCCAGCCTGCACCTTCACAAGAGAATGAGCTCAAGGCAATGCTAAAGCAACTACTTCAAGGGCAAGCTGATGGGGTAGTGGACACAAGCAAGAAGCTAGCTGAAATAAACTCTAAGATCGAGAACCTCAACACAAGGGTTTACTCTCTGGAGAATCATGCTTCTTCTGTTGCTGCTGCTACAAAGCAAGGACAACTACCTGGTAAAGCTATTCAGAACCCCAAGGAACAGTGCAAGGTCATCTTCACTCAAGAAGGACTTGTTGAAGAAGAGGATCAAGAAAGGGTCATTGAAGATTTTTGTTTACTGCTGAATGATGAAGAGATTGTTGCTGCTGAGGCTCCTGGAGTCCAGATTGATCAACCAGAAGTGCATGCACCTACTGTGGCCATTCACACTTCACCAGTTGAGCTCGCACGACAAGCTCGATCGGCAGCTCGATCGAGTCCAACTCTAGCTCGATCGAGTCCGACCTCTTCTGTCCGACAGCCTGTTTTGCTTGATCCTTATCAACCGGTTGCCGCTTCCTCGTCTCGCCTACTTAGTCAAGGTCACAAGGAAGTGATTCACAAGTTCAGAAGAGATCTCAGTGGGATTGGAATTGAGTTGCCTCCTATGGATAGCATGAGTGAGGCATTTGATCAAATGCAAATGGTCAAGGATGTTCTAGCCAACAGTGATAAAGTTTCAGAGGTCCTACAAGAGTCTACTCATCAGTTCAACCTGCTTACTTCACCCACCTTCCTACCAAAGGTCAAGGATCAAGGGAAATTCACTCTCCCTTGCACACTTGGGCATCTTGAGATTGACAATGCCTTAGTGGATTCTGGAGCAAGCATCAATCTGATCTCTCTCTCCATGGCAGAGAAGCTAGGCATAGCTGGAGCCTTGCAGCGCCCTACTACTTCAATCATGTTTGGAGATGCAACTTCTAAGTCTCCTCTTGGAGTGTTCAAGAACTATCACTTGAAAATTGGAGAATGCATCATCCAAACTGATCTCACTGTGATGGAAATGGAAGAAGAGAAGGATTTGCCTTGTTATTGGGAACCCCTTTCCTTAGTACAGTTGGCGCTTCAATAGACTTTCACAAGCAAGAAGTGATCCTTCACAAGGTGAATAGTTTGGTGTCATATCGCTTGCAGCCTAGAGGTTCAGACTTTTGTGCCACAATTGACAGTACCAATCTCAGTTCTAAGAGTCATGGAGCTACAAAGGTTGTGAAGGAAAGGGTTGACAAGGAACCAAGAGTTGGGAAGGATAAGGATGAGAGAGGACCAAGGATTGAGAAGCCACGTCTTGAGAGGGCTAGAGTTGAGAAACCACGATCTGATAGGCCAAGAGCTGAGAGACTTGTTCAAGCCCCTTGTGTGCTTGATGAAGAGAGCCTTCAAGCTTTGTTTGATGAGCCACTAGGAAGGGCTCTAAAAGAAGGGGAGGATGCAGCCTCTAAGGCAAGACCAGGAGATAAAAGAAAGGATCCACCAGCTCAGGCCCCTTCAGTCAAGCCATCTCAGCTCACAATGACTTTGTTCCCCACCAAGTTTGAAAATGGGAAGATTGAGTACAAGATAAGGTACAAGGGGAGATCAAGGCCATTCTCTAGAGCCAAGGCCTTGGTGACTTCAGAACAGTCCAGGGACCCAACCAAGCTAAAGGAGCTTCTGTCTCAAGTCCTCACTATCACCCTTGATGGTGGGACTAGCTCAACCAATGCCTAAGAAGGTAAAGGTCAAGCTATGGGACCTTAAACAAGCTCACTTGGGAGGAAGTCCCATGTTTATCCTTGTACATACTCTATTTATGCAATTTCTATCTATCTTTATGTTTTTAACCTTTCAATAAGTTAAGTTTAGGTGTCAAGGAGCCAGCTCGACCACAGCTCGATCGAGCTAGAAACCAGGGCAACTCGATCGAGTTCCTCAACTCGACCGAGGTAAGTTTTTGAATTTCAAATTCATAACCGTTTTCTTGGTCAAGGGAGTGGGTCCCACAAGCTGATTTTGGTCCCCCACTACCCTAATTGATCAGAAATCCCTAGTTTCTTGTTCCCTCTTTATTTCATCTTTTAATCTCAACCACACATCTCAAACACCTCTTCCCCATAACTCGATCGAACCCACTTCCCTCTCTCCCACACACTTAAATTTCTGAAATCATCTCTCTCTCTCTCACCACAAGAAAATCGATTTCAATCTTTCTCTCTTAAGTTTTTGCGATTTCTTGTTCTTCTCTTGTTTTGCTTAGTTTAGTTTACTGCTCTTCAATTCATCATTCAAGCAAGGTATGAACCCTAAAACCCTTGATCCTCCATCTCGATTTCCATCTATTGCTTGTTTCTCTTGATTTTTGATTGCATGTGTCCCTTGTGGACTTGTTATTGAGTAATTGCTTTCATATTTCGCCTCTGCTGTATAACTTGTTATTTGCTTCACCTCACCTCTGTTTTGCCATTAAACTTGTTGCATGTGCTTGAAATTGAATTTGAGTTTGGTATTGGTTAAGGTTGCTATGTTTTCACTAGAATTGCTTATTGTTCCATTTACTAGTTGTTCTTGGTTCAATTTGATTGATTAGCATCCTTTCCAGCTCTTAATACTTGAATTAGGTTTGGTTATACTCTGTTTTCACCCAACTCGATCGAGTTTGTCACTCGAGTTTTTTGACTCGATCGAGCTGAGTGTCGAGTTGACCAAACCGATCATTACAACTCTAATTCTTTGTAATCTTTGATGCATTTCAGGTACTTTAGTGAAGAAACAAGTAACAAGATGACAAACAGTGAGGGAAGCGGCTTCACAGAGGAGATGGTTGAGGGAGATCAAGCAATGCAAGAAAGAAGGCTTAAGATGAAGCCGATTTGGAGAAGGATGATCAGAGGATGGAAGATCTGATGCAGAGGAGTATGTCTACTCTGAGGAAGTCTGAGAGTGAGAGGTTGAGGGAGAAAGGAGAACCAAGAAGAGGAATGACCCATAGTAGTGAGAGTGAAGCAAGGGAGTTTGAGATTGGAGTGAACCTTGTTCAAGAGGAGGGAAATGGCTCTCCAATGAAGAAGGAAGTGATGAGCTGAGAGTGAAGAGGAAGGAGAAGAGGTGAATCAATTGGTTGATGAAGAGTGAGCAAGAGGAACCAAGATGAGCCCATGGAGGAGGCTGAGTCAGAAGAAGAGAGGAGGATGAGCTCCCCATGTACCAAGAGCACTACAATGCTCTCTTCTCCATGGACTTTGTGGAGACCAAGTACCCACATGATGACACATGAGGATCTTGGATCTTTGAGGATGTGGAGTTGGTGCTCAAGAACATGCAATTGGCCAAGTTCTTTCTCACCGCATGGAGTCTACAAGGAGCTCACTTGTGAGTTTTGGCATCATGAATGATCACATTTGATGAGCTCGATCGAGCTGAGTTGGACCAAGGCTGGGGGATCACGTTCTTGGCAAAGGGAGAGAAGAAGATGGTGACCTTTAGGCAGCTTGGAGATCTGTTTGGGTTCACTATGGAGAAGGAACCAATGGAACATCAAGGAAGAAGAACTCCAAAGAGTTTGGGCTACAATCGCTGAAGAGGGGTACTCTTCCTCAAGGTCCAAGGCTGCCAGATCAGGAGCCCAGTGCTTGAGATATGTCCACAAGGCTCTTGCCAACACCTTCTTTGCAAGGAAAGGCCACTGGACAATCAATGAGGGAGAAGTGAAGCTCCTTGACATGGGAATCAAGCCCATCATCTCACGCACAAGGATGGGAAAAGATCAGAGGAGATAGCACACGCAGGGAACTCATGCCTCTCCTTGACCAGCTCCACCTACAAGTCACAGCTTACAACACTAGGCACCAAAGAGGAAGAAAGCTTAGTGTTGGAGGGGTGATCACACCTATCTTTGTGCAGCTGGAGTCAATGGACAAGAGAAGGTCTACTCCACCAGGTTGGATGGACATCAAGTTTTGCAAGACCAACCTCCTCATTGAGCACAAGGAGTTGGATGGGAGTTCCAATTCAAGTTCACACCCATTGGCTGGACCCTCCAAGCTTCTCCTGCCCAACCCTGAGCTCACCACAGTCTAGGGGTGAGAACATTGACTTCAGACCCCCTGTGTACACATTAGTTGGGCATGAAGGGATTTGCGAGAAGAGGATCTGAGCTCGATCGAGCTGAGGATCGAGCTGAGTCGAGCTGAGGATCGAGTGAGGAAAGCAGGAATGCGGATTTGGGTGAGCCTGAGTGCTATTACTTTGAGGAGTATGAGGCTCCAAGGATGAACCCCTCTGTTGTGGCTGCCCACAAGAGGATTGGACTTCTCCAAAAGTTCAACAAGTGGCAAGGGAAAGCCATGAGAAGATGCAAAAGTCCATGGACAAGATGGTGAGCAAGATCAAAGTTTGGAGAAGAAGGTTTCTGGTTCTTCAAGCAAGAAGAAGTCCAAGGCTCCCACTTTCCCTAGGAGTAGTCACTCCTCACCACCCAAAGGAGGCTCCTGCCCAAGAGCCTCACAGAGCCTCTTCTTTCGAGCCAAGGGAAGGAGAAGACAACACGCAGAGAAGGAGGAAGAGTTCCAAGGCCAGACGCTCCAGCTCGACCACCGGACTCGATCGAGTCCAAACAGAGGAAACTCAACTCGATCGAGCTGAGGGTCGAGTTGACCTGGAGGAGCCCCAGTTTGAGATCCGGGATTCGAATACGATCCCAGCCTTACCAGGACTTCCCCAGTAGATGGAACCCCTATACAGTTCGAGCTAGCCAAGCTCCACCAAGGCCAAGGAAGCCACACCCACTTTGAAGATGAAGAAGAGGAGGAAGAGGAGCCACAAGCTCGATCGAGTGAGCCGAACCCAGTTGCATGGAGTGCTCCTGATGGCCGTCTACCATCTCCAGACCACGACCTAGTCTCCCAGTTCTTTGGGGGGCACTGAGGTATCCAAACACCAACCCTTGTATATACCATTTCATATTTTCTTGTTTTGTTCTTGTTTTTTCTTGGTTTTGCCCTCTTGAATCTTTCACTGAATTTTTCTCACACAAGGGACTGTGTGATTTAAGTTTGGGGGAGGGTTCAAGAGATGATTTAACCTTGTTTTCTTTGTTCTTAGTTTTTCATTTATCTTTTGCATAGAAAAACCAAAAAAATCATAAAATTTTCAAAAAATCCAAAAATATTTTCATCTTTTTGCATTCATATTTGTTAGACTTGTTTAGGATTGCATTTTTCACTTGCATTGTTGATTTGACTTTGAAAACTTGTCCATCTTTTGCGATTTCTTGAGTGCCCTGTTTTTAGATTCTTTTGTGCATTAGGGTGAGATTGATTGAGCAGCAAGAACCATGTTTATCTTGATCATATCACTGCATGCACATCTCATTCAACCATTGCTGTGATTTGATGCATTTCCCTATCTATTTGAACCATAACTTGATCTTTAATTACCAATGCTTGCATTTGATTTCAACTCATGGCTACCACATACATATCTGGACATTCTTTACCATTTTCATATCCCTTTTGCTTGTCCAGATAGCTGATCTCTATCTTTGAGACAGTTACCACACCTTAAACCTAAGCCTTTTCATTTCAAACCCCTTATTATCTCTTGTGCGAATGTGAGAACCTTTCTTGGCTTTGCTTAGCATAAGGTGTTGTGTTTAAACCGGCAGGGGCAGTAGTTCTAGTTGTCTAGTTCTCTTGGGATTGTTTTCAGGCTAAGTTTGGGGGTGCCAACTCGAGCTCGATCGAGTTGGGTGTAAAAACCAGAAAAGTGGTAAAAGTTGGGAAAAACCCAAAGAAAAAGAGTTTGGTTAAGTCCAGGGAGTTGGCAGTGTTTAAAAAGGGTCTAGTAAAGGTTTGGGAAGTTAAAAAAGGGAAGTAAAAAGGGTTCTAAGTAGAATGAAAAGAAGGCAAAGCCTCAAGTGCCAAAAAGGAAAGAAAAGTTCCCTAAGTGTTTAGAAAATCCCAAACCGCTAGATGTTACCTCAAGAAGCCTCTCCCTAGGAAGTTCTTAAAAGAAAAGTGAGCAAAGCTCCTCAGTTTCAAAGGCGAAATGCCAAAAAGGGTAGTTAGGATTTTGTTCTAAAAA